CTCGTTCTTCTCAGCGCGTGTGTCACTGGGGTTTGTTTAAAAGAACTTCCTCGAACAAGGTGTATGAATGTGTGTTTTTGCGAGTGTGTTTATATGGGTATGTGTGCATTTTATCTCTGCTTTTTGATTAAAAAAGACGTTTTATGACGTTTTGTTTCCATTTTATTGTATGCTGATCACTGGACTTACCAAGCAAATAAAATACGCCACCTTCAAAGAACACAATGCTGTGTTAGGTCACTGACCTAATGTGACCTTGACCCGGCCCATACCTACTCAAAAACACCACCAATGTATTCTCCGTGAAGTTAGCTTTCATATGACACCCATATTGCCTATGATTCATGACGTTCTCGGCAGATGTCATTTTCATGTCAGGTCATGACCACATTGTTGACCTCAGTTTGAGGTCAACGGGTCCGATATACCAACCAAATCACATACCACTATTAAGAGCATGGATAAGACATCTCTGATAGAAAAAAATCAGAATTTTTAAAATAGGACAATTTTGAAAGGTCACGGGGTCAAGAAAAGGTCACAAGGTCACAAGGTCAAAAATTGACCCTGAGGTTTCGTTCACATTTTTGCTAGACGCACCAGCCTGTGCGCTTATTATTTCATAAATAACTTTTTTTGATACGGTGAACCGTTGCAGAGATAAAAAATACTTTATATTTCAATATCCCGGGAAACCTTAAAATTTGCATGATCCATATCTTATGACCCCTGTGACCTAGAGACTAAAAATTCACTGGGACGTAGTAGTGCCCATAGGTCAACTTGCATGCCAAATTTGAGCAAAATCGGAGTGGTCATGGTGAACATGCCTAGGTGATCTGTCATGGAATTGCCCATTGAGTAAAAAGCGAGGCCGCTCGGTAAGCAAATCCTCGCCGCCCTGCCGCTGTTCTGGTGGCTGGCGGGCTCACCCAAGGCACGCACTCTATGTGCCCACTCTAAATGGGCACCTTTATCCTACCCTAAAAGTTGCAGGATTTTGCATAATAAAACACGCAAGGAAATTACAAATTATTTTGGCCTTAGTCAGGAAAAAATCCATACAATACACTGTAGGCCATCTGGGACTCTCGTGCTCCGACGGCGCAAGCAATTTTGCGCCGAAATTTTAGGCTAGGCAGATGTGCGCCGAAAGTTTAATCTTATTTGTACCAAATTCAACGTTTTTTGCCCTCATAGCACATGTAATGCTCATACTTAGCTCTGCCTTAACCCGCGCATGACTGGGGTATTTTCCATAACGCGTGTGACTGGGGGGGGGGGGGGGGGCTCTCCAGAGCCCCCTCCTATCTCCGAAACTACTTGGCCGATCGTCAAAATTCAAACGGCGTCTGATAGCCCTGGAAAAACTGTCGAGCGAAACCTATTTTCATTGACTTCAAGGTCACCGATGACGTCACAGTTCAGGTCAAAGTAAAAATTATCGACATTTTGCTAGTTCACAAGTTAGGCTCTGACCGCCGGCTGACAAGTCCGATCAAGCTCATTTTTGGTTTACGCACTCCGTGATAGATGCCTTAGATACCCTTAGGGCAACAAACTTTTACTTCGAATTTTTAAGGTCAAGGTCAGGTCATCCTAGGTCACGAAAATTGTATATCATGTATCGGTCACGTGACGCATGTTTTACGTCCATTTTACTGGTAGATTTCAAAAATAGTGTCGTCTGTGTCATTTGAGGTCATTGTCAGCTGAATTTACCGGAGGTCAGGTGACTTTGCAGGTCAGAAAGGTCAAATTTAGAAAACGAAATTTTTCGACAAAAAAGGTGCCTATCAGATGCAGTTTGAGCTCAGGAACACGATGGTGCCAATTATATTGCTGTACGACGTCAAAAACGTACTGAAAAATGGATTTGAAAAATATAAAATTGTAAAATTTTGACAATAATGCGAATAACTTGGCTATTTTTGAAGATATTGAACTGAAACTTGCTAGTGTAGTTCATCAGAGTGTGTTCTATCGCATTTATTACGGTTTTTGCGAATAGTCAAAAACTTATTGAAACAAACAAACAAAACAAAACATTTATTAAAAACAAAAGATATTTTTTTTGTAATAGTAAATATATATTTTTCAAAATTTCAAAATTTTGAAAATTCGAGATAGCAGTTTGATAGCTACGTGTATTTGTATTCTACTCATGCAAAGAAAATGGATTTAGCTTCAAAACTGAGCTCTTGAGAGCGTTTGCCGTAATTCAATATTTTGCATCAAAATCGGCCGACATGACGTCCCTCTGACGTCATTTCCGGCCAAACTATGGTAGCTAGAAAGTTGAAATTTTAACACAAAGTGTCAAATTGATGCCGCTGAGGGTACCCCAAGTTGCGTGTGGATCCGTCTAACGGTTTAGAAGATATGGCTGAACAACGGGAGGGGGGGGGGGCTCTGTAGAGCCCCCCCCCCAGTCATGCACGGGTTAAATGTTGAAAAGTTTGATGAGAAATAGCAAGGAGACTGTATAAAAGGCGAGTTGTACAAAAATGTTTCCCGGCACGAGTTCATAGCTCTTCCGAAAAGAAATAGAGTACACAATGCCGGTATACGGATGTGTTACCCGTTCGCTAGGTACTACTACCAACTGCCTGGCCCATGATGCAGCCAGCCTGTTGTGCCGCATCATGGCACAGCAGGCTGGCTGCATGTGCCAATATGTAATCTTCAATGCTGTTTGTTTTACTTTTCACAATGAAGGCGTATGGCAGCTCGTGAATAGTGCTTCTCTTTTTGTAGAATTTTGTTGCAGTTATTATATTTTTTCTTTTGGGAAGTTAGTGAAGGTGAATATGTCAAGAATTTTCGGCAGCCTTTAAGCAGGCGTCACACTTCAGTGTTTACGGCCGAAGGTGCGGTGACCTATATAGTATATACCTATAGATCGTCGAACGCATAGTTCACACGCAGCTGTATACTTAGGGCCTGTTCCAGCGCCTCCAGAAACCTCCAGAAAGCTCCAGAAAGCTCTAGAATCCTCCAGAGAGCGTTCCAGCGCCTCCAGAAAGCTCCAGAAAGCTCTCGCCAAAGCTCCAGAAACCTCCAGTAGCCTCCAGAGAGTTGAGAGGTCCAAATTTCTCTGGAGGCTCTGGTCTACAATTATGGTGCACATGTGACAATCACGAATGTAAACAAAGGACATTTGACTGATTATTTTACAACTTGAATGTAAAGAAAATTACATTGCTATAATTTTATTTATCTTTTTAACTAAAATTGAAAACAAATTTTGCGTTTCAAGAGAGAACAATCGTCATTCTTTTGGTATCTATGACGCCAATCTCCAGAAATCTCCAGATTGCGTTCCAGCGCCTCCAGTAAAACCTCTGGTAGAGCCTCCAGTCAAGAATTTCTTCTGGAGGCGCTGGAACAGGCCCTTACTTTGACTCGAACCACCTATTTTCGTGTACGCAGCATGGCTTTCGTCGCCACCACTCGACCGAGACGGCCCTTATAAGAGTAACAGACCGCGTTCTTCAGGGTATGGACAACGGCCAAATATCTCTTTTAGTACTATTAGATCTCAGTAAATGCTTCGATGTGGTTAGCCATTCAAAACTGATTGAAAAGCTTGAACTTTATGGGGTAGAAAGCACTTGGTTCTCAAATTACTTATCAGACCACTATCAGCAAGTTAGACTTTGCTTTCCAGATGGTCGTCAGCTTCTATCCAAGGCGGCTAGAAACCCTATCGGAGTGTACCAGGGCACCTCATTGGGGCCCCTCTTGTACAGTATTTTTGCAAACGACATCAGCCTATACGTCGGCGACGACGTTAGCATCACTCAGTACGCCGATGACACGCAGATTCTTGTTACTGGACACAAGCGTGACATTGCGAGTCTCATTCGGCGCATGGAGTTAGCCCTGTGCACTTTATTCCAGTGGTTCACCCAAAATCAGATGAAAATTAACTCTAGCAAAACTCAACTTATCGTTTTTGGCACACGTCATATGCTCCAGGGTCTTCCCAAGATTTCCATTAAAGTAAATGGTGTGACTGTGCAGGAGGTTGAGCGAGTAAAGAATTTGGGGCTGGTTATGGACCGACACTTATCTTTTGAACCGCATGTCAACCAACTGGTTGCAAAGTGCACCGGGCTACTTATAGCTTTGAGCCATGCGAGGCATCGTTTACCTGAAGGTGTGCTACCAGTGATCGTGAGTGGCTTGGTTATTTCTCTGATTCGATACTGCATTGTTGTATACGGAAACTCAACTACACACTCAGTGACGCGCATTAAGAAACTGTTAAACTTTTGCGCAAGAGTGGTGTCAGGGCGGAAAAAGCGGGAACATGTGCGTGATGTGTTGAGCGAGTTGAACTGGTTGCCTGCCGAGGACCTCGTGATGTATCGTACACTGTGTCTGCTGAAAGCCATCCTCACCTACGAACAACCGGCTGACTTGGCGAGTCACTTTCGAACGGCGATGAGTGTGAGGCAGAGATCGACCAGGCAGGACGACCATCTTGTTTTACCACGCATCAGAACAGAGTCAGGGAGGAGAATGTTCATCTACCGGGGGGCCCGAGCATATAATGCCCTACCACCCTCCGTACGGGACGGACGCACCGCGGCTTTCAAAAACGCTTTGCGGATACACATGGGTCAGGCGCGGCAGATGCAGGTGTGAGCGTGCTCGTGTGTTCTTACTGTGGTACCTTTTAGCATTCTTTCATTGGGTTAGTTGCCTTTTGCATTGTTTTATGTCGTATCAGTGTCGTGTGTGTATGCCTTTTATCCCACAACTGACGTAAGCACATGAAAAGCCGGTGTATGTTTACCTGGATGAGCTTGAAATACATTCTGAATTCTGAATTCTGAATACCTTAGCGGTGACAGGCTGTGGCCTTGGACGGCCGCAAGTTTATTGGGTATATGGTTAGGTTTATTTTCGAATGTTTGAGGGCCCATACTATCGATGGGGTGTAACCACAGCTAAACTGGTTAGCTCGTTAATGACTGTATGCTGGCCACTAGTTTCAGGTTGGTCGCCATGTCGTCCCGTCGCGCCGCCACCCGTCGTGGGGTCACCAAGAAGCGTGCCCAGCGCGCCACCTCCAATGTATTCGCCATGTTTGCACAAGAGCAGATCCAGGAGTTCAAAGAGGCCTTCAACATGATCGACCAGAATCGCGACGGATTCGTCGACAAGGAGGACCTTCATGACATGCTTGCCTCTCTAGGTTGGTCTAAATACTATTGGTTTGAGCTACCTATTGGTGTTTACTAATTTCTGGCATTAAAATGCTTTATACATATATATGTATGATATATCCGTCCTTTATTTTACCTACATACTACCATATGATGGTTGTCCGAGAAATGACGCGGGAACGTCATTTGCTGAGTAGCGGAAGATCGGTGGCTTGCTAGTTAAATGTATGGACAGTTATGTTTATTTTCGAATGTTTTATTGGTGTTCGCACACGTCTTTTTCATCAGGTTTACATTGGTTGCTGAATAGTGTCCAGTGGTTCTTAGACTGCCATGTAACAATGTTGGCTCATTGGTGGCCGTGCATATTGCACAACGGGTGGGGTAATTTGAACATGTGGGGCAATTTGAACATAGTGTGAATAACAGAAAATTACGGACAATCCATAAGTGGCATGACAATAAGACCAATGAGAGAAATTATCGTAACTAAAAGGGCTATCATATGAACGGGGTTTAAAGTTTCAGGGAATGGAGATGGTGACGCACAGTGTAAAAAATCAATTTCGCAAGGAAAAACGCCTATCAACACGACATTGCAACTTCATTGCAGCGCAAAATCTTGCATTGCTAGCGCCTAATACGCAACGGCTTTTGTTGTATAATGACCTAATCAGTGCCTTTAATCCAAAAAAATTGCTTTTGAACCCTGTTTTTTAAAATGGCAAAATAACTTTTAGCGTGGGGTAATTTGAACATAGTGTGAGAATTTCAATGAAGACAGGGATAGCTCCGAAAAAACAACGCTCCCAGTTTTTTTTTTTTGCCAATATTTTCGACCCAAGGCAGTAGCAGATAAGTGATGCCAGTTTTAGAAAATTTACGTCTAATATCCGTCTAATGTCCGGCATTTTTGTTGATTTTCCGTCCAAAAATGTTAAAGTCAACTATTTGTCCAACTATGTCCGAAAATTATGCAGCTATCAACACTCAAAACCGTCATTTATATTGCTTATCATGTAATTTCACCAGCCGAAAAGTGTTCATTATATTGAGAGCTTAACAAGCTTTCCATTCGCCAATCAATGCTATGCACGATTACTTTATAAAAAGCGCTGAAGTGTAGCAAGCCATCGTCCAATGTTGTCCAGTCTGCTACCTTTGTCCAACCAATTCCGAATTGGACATTGGACAAAATCAGAACTCCAAATGTCCAGGTTTCGATTGGCACCACTTTACCAGATGTAGTACGGTTGGGAGAGTTTTTATCGAACAAAAATGATAGACGTTCTGTTAATTGAAGAGGGGCGAATTCTGTCAACTGACCGGTGTCAAGCGTGCATATATTGATACTCTGCAACTGTTATTTTTGCTGTTGTGTTGATTTTTCAAGTGAAGGTATGTTTAGAATTGTTCTGCCTATTTGTTTATGGGTCAAACAACATCGGTGCTGGCGAGACTATCGTTTTTATGACAGGTAAAGGCAGTATGTTCAAATTACCCACGGTGGGGCAATTTGAACACACCGTGACTTGGTGGAGAAGTGAGGCTATGCTATTCAAGGTATGCTCGGCTCGTCCAAAAATGAGGCTTGCATGGTGAAAGCAAGTGACACTTGCGCTACTGAAGCAGTTTTTCTTCATCCAGGGTTGAACTGGAATTTGGTACAACGGAGAAGACGTAAAAATATGTTCAAATTACCCCACACTACCCTATTGGCTCCAACTCAGCAGGGACCTACCTGTTCAGTCTCTCTGACACTTTGTGCCGCCGTTCTCTCTGCTACAGGCAAGGACCCGACCGACGAGTACCTGGAGGGTATGATGGGCGAGGCGCCGGGCCCGCTCAACTTCACTATGTTCCTGACGCTGTTCGGCGAGCGGCTGCAGGGCACCGACCCCGAGGAGGTCATCAAGAACGCCTTCGGCTGCTTCGACGAGGAGAACTCGGGCGTCATCTCTGAGGAGTTTCTGCGCGAGATCCTCACCTCCATGGGCGACCGATTCAGCCAGGATGATGTAAGTAGTGTAACGGGAGAGGAGGGCTGTATACGAATGTATCTTAATAATATTTATTATTGCTTGTAATTCTTTCTTCGGACTAGGAGGGCTTCGTTTTTATTTTTGTTTTCTTCTGCCGTATAGCTTTAAATTATTCTTCTCGCGCTTGATGGTTTTCATTTTGCATCCTAGTTCAATCCATGCTTTTATTGAGTTGAATTTGTTCCATTTGCAATAGAATATTTGACATTCAGCTGGTTCTCTTCTACCACGAATTCGATGTAATGCCTACAACAACGCGCTTGTTACCGAAATAGAAATAAGCCACCGTAGGGCTCGGCTCCATCAGATACCTAATCTGTGGTGCAGCTTGCTGCTCCTATGCTCTTTCCGGAGTGGTTGAAACGTTCTGGGGTTGTTTTGAACTGTGATGACAGTGAGTTTGAATTAATTTGTCTCTGTTTTAGGTGGACGACATGTACAAAGAGGCACCCATCAAGAATGGTATGTTCGACTACGTGGAGTTCATCCGTATTCTGAAGCACGGAGCTAAGGAGAGGGACGAACAGTAAACGCCGACGGAAAATCACGCAACGCGCTTTTCAGCACGGGCTGCTGACTGCTAGATTGTGACGAACGGATATGACCAATGGGGAGCAGACTGTCCAGTATATTTATTGGCCAACTTTTAACTTAATCTAGATGATCAGCGGGCGATAGCCCCTAAAACATAGCTGCCTGCCAAGATGCACAGCGTGTGCACTTTCGGAGGCCAGCTGTATTTTTCTATCAGTCGACGGCAGGAACGTGATTTTAAGAGCGACTTTGAATAATGTGGTGGGAGTGTTTTGCGGCGGCAGCGTGATATTGCCGTTCTTGTAGTAACTATGCTTATTGCTTTTGCTGTTATGCTAACATTCTATGAGGACTCTACGCGTGGAAAGCACATCTTCCTTTACAAGTGTTATTGCCATTTTAACGGTTTTGTAAGAATACAATCGCAAAACTGAATAAATTTTTGGATTCAATTATGGCATGTTTAGTGTTTACCACGTGATACGAGGATTCGAATTGCCCGCTCATGGCTCTTAGATTTAGGTGAGTGAATTACTGCTACAGACTGTATTATTGGCCGGTCACTGTTGTAGCCAGCCCGACCAGATTATCTGTTGGCGTTGTTAACGCGAGAATTGCCCATGAATAGGTAAACTTCTGCGGGGAGTGCTGTGACAATTGACATATGTATGCTGCAGGGACTTTTATCTGGGACTTTTATATAGATGACAGACCAAAGGATGCCACCAGTATAACGCCTTTTGGGGCGACTAACGGAGCGAGCGAGAGGGCGGGCCTTGCACGTGCGAAATTTCGAGGGGGTACCTCCAACTGACTTGTGCACGGCACCCTACTAACCGGTCTCTAGCGATGTGCCAAATTTGGGCACAATCGGCCAAGCCGTTCTCGAGATCTGGAAGCGGCACCCTGCACGTGCGCACGTGCAAGATGGGTCCCAACTGACTTGTGCACGGCACCCTACTAACCGGTCCCTAACTGTATACCAAATTTGAGCGCAATCGGTCGAGCCGTTCTCGAGATCTGGAAACGACCCCTGCACGTGCGCACGTGCAGCAACACCCCAACTCTGGCACATGGATATGCAGTGCCTAATGGGTTCCTACCTACATGCCAAGTTTCAGCGCAATCGGCCAAGTAGTTACCGAGATATTGCAACAATTACAAAACTGACACCTCTTCGTTTTGCACGTGGCACGTGCATAAGGGGTCACCCAAATGCATCGGGAATAGTCCAATACTTGGTAGAAGGAATGAAGCTACCCTACAAAAATTACCGCATGTAAATCGGTCAAGTGGTTGCTGAGATATAAGCCTCGCAAAAGCGTCCGCACGGCCGGCCGGCCGCTCATACTCGGAAATTTCCGTTAATCTAAGGAAAGACTACGCTCGCTTCGCTCGCTCCGTAATAAAATGCTTTCATGTCACTATTGCATCGTATAGCCTTCAGTCACATGGTTTCGTGTTGCCGTCAACGGGCAGCGAAATCGACAGAGAATAGAAGCATTTACATGATGCTCGTCAATGCTCGTGGCTGATGAAGTATTTTCGGTTTGGCAGTCTGATATGGTAGCTCATACAAGCATCTTCAGCGGCGCGACTGCTACGAACTATACGCAGCTCTATTGTGCTCATTTTGCCTGTCGCTAGCAAAAACCCGCTTGCGGTTGCAAAATAGTGAAGAACGAACAAATCAATGTTCGATATGCAAAAAAGCAGCGAAACTTGCAGATACTGTAGAACAGGATGTTAGTGAGTCCCGCATTTCGCTAGGCAGACAGGAAGGCGTAACGTACAAGGTTGCACGGACTAATTTCTACTAAATCTACCAGAATATAGTTTACCGGTTGGGTATTTTGATAACTATTCAATCAAAACTTCTTTATTATTTTCTCGTTATCATTTATAAGCAATTTTATAAATTGACTTTCAATTTGCTTGCCTTTTACTGGCAAAATAACTTTCTAGTATTGGGTCAACATAGTTGTGTAGCAGTAGGAACCATATCTGGCAAAACCCCAATGCCTACATACAGCAGAAAAGCAGCCACCAGGTGTCGCCACAGTCGCCACTTGGTCGCCACACAGATGTCGCGCGCGTCGCCAATCGCCACACTACCGATTTCCATAAGGACGCATATGTACGGATATGTATTGGAAAGTCGCCCTTAAGGATTACGCTTACATCCTTTGCTTATGAGGTCGGTGGTTGGAAATTGGGAGGGGCTCAGCTATTTTCGACCACGGATATGGCTTTACCACATGATGAGGAACATGCTGATAAGCGTTTTATGTGTCATAACAGCACATAAGTATTTTTAATCATTTTTCAAAAATAGCCAATCCGCCGTATCCTTCAGTGCAAAGTGCCGTCGGTCAGTCCCGACGTGACGTCACGCAGGGAATTTGCCAGATTTTCCTACTAGACTTCGACACCCCTGTATTTAGGGCCTTGGCGTAACGTTTCTTTTAGCCAAGCTTTTAGCAAGGCCAAATTGAAATATAACCAGCAAGGCCCTATATACCTCTTTTAGAAGGTATGGTATTTAATCGCGAGCCGCATTTTCGTTTTTTTTTGCTGATACCACGGTGGGTGATACCGGCAAGGTTTCACATCAATTGTGAATCTTGAATACGTATAGTGCTATTTTGTAACGATAATACTAAAAAGTGCTCATATTCGTTTCAGACCCATAGGAAATGGAAGTGAATGGGTGTTCTTAGCATCTTTATCAATGTCTTATCTTTATAAGCCAAATTCACCTTTAATCATCATTGTGTCAGATGGTGCAGCAATGTCAAAAACAAATTAATGGGACTTTGGAGACAATCTAGTTAGGGCCTAGGGGGATGGCTGGCCTGAAAGGAATGACAAGCCTTTAAATATTAATTCTGCAGCATACACTAAACATTCTAGTTTTTATGCAGGCAGGTGCACATTTTGGACGACGGTGAAAAAAAAATCGCCTGGGGCGATTTGATCAAGGTTCGTGAAATTTACACGTGACGTTTAGCATGTAGAAGGCCGACAAAGGGGGAGAAGCTCCAAATGTCACGTGACTAATATGCCCTCTGGCGCCCTGTTTTCACCGGCGTCCCACATTTTAACCCTAGTTGGTGTGGTCTGGTGGCTGGTGTTGATCTATACCACCTTTTCTACACCTTTTTAGGCACACTTTCAAAAAGTTAAAGACCAAATTCAAAATATTCACATGCATTTTGAGCCTAAACTTTTTGAATCAGTCTTCAACTTTTTGAAATCGCACCTTAAAGGTGTATTGAATGTCCATGCTGTTGCCTGTTCTCATGCTTTGCAGACTGGAGAATGGAGATTGGAGAAAGAAATTACATAATTTTATGTGACGTAATATGGAAATTAAAACTTATAATGGTCAACACATTGCTTTAATAATTTATGCATTGTTTGATTTTTCTGCATGGCATCTTGCTGGTAACAGACAAATATTATTTTACAGCAGTTGATTTATTACTGTGTTACAGGCCCTTCATTCCACAATGGATTCAGACAGTGATGATGATAATGTTCACTTTGGTACACCCCTTGAGCCTCTTGAGGAAGGTAAGTGACCTGTTTTTCCTTAGGGTCCATGCTACATAAGGTTAATTTTGAATATTAGAGGTTGAAATTGCATTTACAAAAGTTATATTGCTTCAGCCAGGCAACTGTAATTTAATTTGATAATTTCATTTATGTACATGGTTGATATTGCAGTGAAATTCTTGCATATACTTAATTTTTCTTCTCTATACTTAATTTTTCTTCTCTATATAATTCTCAAGCAGTAGATCCAGTTAGTTCAGACCCTTTTGGCTCTGGATATTGATCTTTATTTTGATCAGTTATCTAAATAATTAACAGAATAAGAATACCTAGCTGCATACCAACAGTTTTTGCCGGATGGCCTGCACTTTCTCTTTAAATACAAAGGCACCTCCATACCATGACCAACCACTGCAAGTAATAATAACCCCATATTGAAATACCTAGTGGAAGATAATGTTTTCCTGTGTTTTACTATTTTTGAAATTAACAGAAAGTCCAAGATTGAATCTTCATTGTGTTAAACTGTGGGCTTGTAATATTTTGCTTTCCAAAGTCCAAACACTTCCTTGTAGAAAGCCATGTTAAGGTTTTATGACTAACATTTGTCAAAAATGTTGATTTATCAAACTAGGTGGAACCTCACAGCCATTTCTAAAAGTATCTGATTTAAACAGGAAGTAAGTCATGCAATTCATTCATATGCCCATGTTTGCTAGGGAGCGCCGCTAAGCGTCGTCCGCCGGCTCTTGAAGACCAGACGGTACGGGACAGTCGCGGCCGACAGCGGTTCCACGGCGCCTTCACCGGCGGCTTTTCTGCGGGCTTCTTCAACACGGTCGGCTCCAAGGATGGCTTCCAGCCGGCCTCTTTTGTGTCGTCCCGCAGCACGCGCGCCGAGCGGCGACCGGCGCGGCCCGACGACTTCATGGATGATGAGGTGCGCGGGCGACTCGGCTACGGCTTTTTCCTCGGCCAAGGGCAATAAGGAGGGGTGTCAGTATTTTATGGATAGAAATGGTACTCGCCCCCTGAGATGTGAGCGTTAAGCTTATTTTTTATGCTGATGAATGAGGATGTTTTAATGATATCCTTTTTAGCATTGTATTTGATCGCCTTATGTGCGTGCATGTTTTGGCTAAGATCAGAGTACAGTTTGCTGTTCCACCTTCACTTTCTTACATACTGTAGTGTTCTCTATGCCCTTACCGTCCCCGTTGGCCTCGGGACGCCCTCTCTGTCACACCCCGACCCCTGCAGGACCGTGGGGAGCACGGTATCGCGCCGCAGCGCGTCCAGGCCAGGGACGAGTTCCGACCGACGCCCCCCGGCGGCGTCAAACGCAGCCGGCCCCAGTTCGACGAGGGACCCATTCCCGGGGAGCCGGTACTCAGTCAGCTGGTGCAGCCGGTCAGGTGAGCGGGGAACACGGGCCCAAACCTTCAGTGCATTTGACAGAGGGCACATAACAGGCTAAAGTGGGTGAACGAAAATTATAGAATAGGAAGAAGTGTTGCTAGTTTGGGATTATGACTAGTACTTTGACGATATGTTTGTGATGTGTTACGGATGCTATGCATCAGCGCTCATCACTGCTTGTTTTTTTTTTTTTTGTGTCACGGTATTATTACGTTATGTGTCGTTAGTTTGCTAGTGTACGTTTAATCTGTTGCGTTGTGGGACTGCAGTTCCCATCAGTAGTTCGATTACACTGGTCAGAATTAATCCGTTTAGCCCTGCACTAATGATCTCATCCGTGCCGCTCACACAGGGACACGGTTGGTGTTCGGATTCTAAAGGCGATGGGATGGCGGCCCGGGCAGGGCATCGGACCCCGCATCACAAAAAAGGAGAAGAAGAGACAGAAAAAGGTAATTATTAGCGCTATATCTCGGCAGCTGGAATCATATCATCATCATCAATAACGTTCATGACGAGCCATGCAGCGATAATACACAAAAAATGATCATCTGTCGGCTGTCGCTGGTGGAAATGTTTCCGTGGTAACATCTTCAAAATTTCAACATGTACGGACACTGCTTGCAATGGATGATATTTACGTATGATTAATCTAGACTTGCAAGAAAAGGAAAATGGGTTTGTTTATTGTCTCCATTTTCATTATCCGCTGCAAATTTACATACGCCAGCGATAAGTTGCAGGACAGGGCATACATTGTTTCACATTTTATCTTAACTGTTTTCAACTCAGCGACGATTCGTACAATTGTCATATAACCCCGTCTCCTACTTTCCTGCTCTGTCAGGTGTACGGCTGCGCGCTGCCGCCGGGCGCCGAGCCCACCGCCGCCGCTCCGTCCGACTCCGACTCCGACTCGGACTGGGACTCTGCGCTACGGGAGGTACTCCTGGCGCCGGACGACTTCGAGGCGCCCCTGGTGCGGCCGAAGCACGATCACATGGGCCTGGGGTACCGCGGCCTGGACCGACACTCTGTGCTCGGCGCCGCCGCGGGCGATACCACGCTGCGCTACAGGGACAAGGCGGGCAAGGTGGCCATCAGGGGACAGGTAAGAGCCGGTGATACATGCTGAGATCGGTACTGGGCGGGGCTGGGAGCTTGTGTTACTGAGGATTGAAGCTGACTTGAGTTGTAATGGGACGTTGCCTGGGATGCCGGATGACACATTGGAAAAGTAAGAATGGCTTTGAACTGTTGGTTGTAGTGTAGGTGAAAGGGATTCGTTTTCATTTTCGCTAAGTTCTAGGCTCATTGTTCCATTTATTCTAATTTGATCCGGAGTTCGTCAAGGTAACTTTCTCTGTCTCGCGTCAGGCGTTTGGTGTGGGTGCATTTGAAGACGAAGACGATGATATTTACGGCACCGAAGATATGTCCAATTACGACTTCGAGTCGGCTCCGGAAAAGCCTACCTCTCGTCCCGCGCCCGGCAGCGCTGACCGCCTGGCGCGGACCCTCGCCGGGTTCCGTCTGTCGGAGGGTAAACGGGCGACTCGACCGCGCTACCCGCCGCCGCCACTGCCTCCTGGCTTTGTGCCCCGCCACCGGGCGCGCGCGAGCCGCTTCGAGCCGCGTCCTGAGGAGCGGCGGGGATTGGAGCGGCACCGCCTGTCGGCCGGTCGGAGGGCAGAGATGATCGGCGAGCAGCGGCCTGCGGACCCAGTGGATTCCTCGCCAGCTGCGGCGCGGACGGAATCTCCGAGCGGAGCACAGTCGGAGGCTCAGCCCGCCGCTCCGGTCGCCGCAGGTCTGCCGGGCCGACCGGAGTCCGAGCGGCCCTCCCAGCCGGCAGACAGCCCCGCGGTGAAGACAGAGCCTGGCGCAGTGCCGGCGGACGCGGAGAGACTGAGGGAAGTACATCAGCTGCTGGCGGAGGGCGGCGACTCGCCGGCCGCCGCCGCTCCCGCCCTGAAACCGTTCGCCAGCGACCCGGAGAAGCAGGCGCGGTATGAGAAGTTCCTGAAACTACAAGCCGCCAATAGGAAAGGTGAGAGATGAAAGAGAACACCTCTGAGGTCAGTTTTTAGAGTGGGAAGGGAAAAAATGCACAGATAGCAGAATGCATGCTGTGTTCTACGAACTGTTTAAGAGATGATAGACGGAAGATGGAAGTTCATAATGTATTTTATATTACCGCCTGCTGCTCTGCCTTGATGACCTGACCCATCTCTGTCCCGTGTTACTCGTCCGCCTCTCCTGTCTGACCCGTCTCCTTCCCTGCCAGAGGACTACCACCTGCTGGCAGCCTCTATGACCTGACCGGACCCGGCCTCCCCCGTCTGACCCGCCCCTCTCCCCTGCCAGAGGACTACCACCACCTGCTGCCCGCCTCGATGACCTGACCGGACCCCTGCCCTCACTGACCCGCCCCTCTCCCCTGCCAGAGGACTGCCACCTGCTGCTTCCTCCTTCGATGACCTGACCGGACCCCTGCCCTCACTGACCCGCCCCTCTCCCCTGCCAGAGGACTACCACCTGCTGCTGCCCGCCTCGATGACCGACTGGGAGCGACAGCGAGAGGTGAGCGAATTCCACCGCTCGGCGCTCATATTCCGACCGCTGGCCGCCTCCCTGGCCGACAAGTTCGTCTCGGCGGGTACCTCCGACCAGGAGAAGCCGCCGGCACCGGGCGAGGCTGCCGCCGGACGGAAGGAGTCGACCGATCCGGCTACCCAGGCGGCTCGGAGGCGGATGTTCGGCTTCCTGACGCGGCAGACCCAGGAGTGGCACCCGGCTCCGCTGCTCTGTCGACGGTTCAACGTCAAAAACCCGTACCCACAGTGAGTCAGATCGAACAGACAGATGGTTATCCAACAGGTCACATGTAGTCTCTCTTCGTTTTGAATATTTTAGTCTCTCTTCGTTTTGAATATTTTTACGGGACTTTTCATACCTTTTGTGATTGTGATACGGAGTTTTTATGCTATCATGAGACTTTCATTTTGCACTGATCGTCGGATGGCAACTGAACATCATTGATATTTCCATTCTTCCATTTTAATTTTTACCTGCTGGCCATTACACGTTAATTTTGCCTCAGCCTATATGTGTAGGCATTGCAGTAGGACACCGGCACCTTTGCGCTGTCCTAACCACCATTACGTATTTGTTCCCACAGCTCCAGTATAGTCGGTACGCTGGGTCTGGCCAGCGGCGCCGCCTCCATGTCCGCGCCCGTGCTGCCTACTCCGACCCCCACTGCTGACGCGCCAGCAGCCCCCAAGCCGCGGCTGCGCTGGGACGATGTGCTGTCAGACGAAGAGGGTGGAGGGACGGATACGGCGGCCGGAGCTGGCGACGGAGCCATGGCGGTGAGTGGATGGATGAAATGGGCTGCGGATAATGGATTTGTGGTTGTGCTTCATAATGTCACGTTGATGCAGAAAGTCTGAAGTTAGGTATAGGCTATTTCAAGTGGAGTATTTTATCCAGCTAGGTCGTTCTCCCAGAATTCCAGTCGTTATGTCTATTCGATGTGTGAAACAATTTGAGTCCGAATGCTCTTCGCCGCGATCGAAGTAATCGTCTTTTTTATTTCAAAAGGATTCAATGACGTGTAGATATCAAACATGCATGTGGGAACGACAATAAATTAACAAGTCCTGTTTTCTCCACAGCCCAGCGGTTCTCTCGCCGGCTCTTTGCTGGCTCTCCCGGCACCTAACACCGCCGGCCCGCCACCGGCCACCACAGCACCAGCCCAGAAACCATCCCCGGACCTCTTCAAGGCCATCTTTGACGACTCGGACACCGAGTCTGAGTCGGAGGACGCCCCGGCGAAGGAGGCCAACTCACCGGAGACTCCTCCGCTGGTGGGCGGGGCTCAGCCGATCGCCGCCACTGACAATCAGCTAGCCGCCGCAGCCGAGGAGGGAGCGACGCGAGCGGAGCCTTCCCGCTCCTCTCCTCCAGTTGAACCACAGGGACAAACAGGAAAGCCAGTCGGACCCTCTGGCCGGCCGACTGCCGCGTCTTTCTTCAACCAGGCCCCGTCCGCCGCGGCCAAGAGGCAGGGATTCAGCCTGTTTGATAATGTTGATCTGGACGAGCTGAACAGCTGGCGAAGGGGTGGATCCGGTGGCGGTGGGAACGGGGAGAGTGCGGCAGACGGTCCGGAGAAGGGACAAAGCGCCGCGCCAGCCGCCACTGTCCCGGCGTCGCCGGTGGGGAGCTTCAGTCCGGGCTCAGAGGACGAGTACGGTCCCCGTCTACCGCCGTCCGCGCCCACCGCCGCTACCACGTCCTCCTCCTGTCTGCCAGTGAGCTGTATGGGGAGGAAGAGGAAGAGGTCCGACAGTGACGCCGCCGAGTGGCGCGAGATGTCTCCGAACGGGCACAAGAAAAAGAAGAGCAAGAAACATAAGAAGAGTGATAAGAAGAAAAAGAAGAGTAAGAGAAGGGGCAGTGGCAGTGATAGTTCAGACTCTGATGATGTGGATAGGACGTTATTGAAAAAGCTCAGGGATGTGGTGATGAAAAAGAAGAAAAAGAAGAAGAGCAGCTCTCGACACTGAGAAATTTCCACCGATGCTCGCTTGCTGACCGGCTGTGGACTTTCAATATGGTGAACGATTCGCGATTGGGCTAATTACAAGTATGTGCCATACTGGCATACTGTGTTCGGCATGACCCCTGAATCCAAGGAGTGTTACTTTATGTTCGATCTTTGGATGGTGATAGTGACGTTTTCCTGCCTTTTCATTTGAGCCTTATGGCCTGAAGGCCGACCGGTGTGACCCAGCCGCACAAGCGAAGTTCAGCTTATCGCTGTCCTTCCCAAAGGCGTAAGTCGTCCTCAGGAAAAGTGCCGTTTGACGTGATGCGATAATATTGTGACGTGATCTCGCCAATTTCGTGTAATGTCCTGCGTGTCCAATAGCATTGGCGCCAGCCCTGTCCAGTGTGCATCCTTAGAAATGTAACGTGCTCTGTTCATAGGATGCGAAATGTTCGGCAGACTGATGTCTGCAGTCTGGAACAGGCAATAGGGTGCAGTTGTCCTTACTAATGGTGATGTTTTCGCGAGTTATATGATTGTAGACATGTGCTGTTTACTTTGATAAATGAACCAGTCCACGCACATGTCAGTTTCTCATCGTTACTTGCTTCTTCCATCGCACTGTTAGTGGCACATCGCAAACACAACGCTTCATCCTCTATATACCGAGCCTATATTTCGCTTGGCAGCATCTGCATGTCATTGCAAACTAATGGGACGAGTCACAACCCTATGTCGATCAAGCAGCCGCACGATATACTGTTCAGAAAACAAAACCCAGTCAGCAAGGTACGCAGCAAACAAAATCACCGGCTACGCAAAGCGCACAGTCTGCCATTGAGGCGCCCAAGGTGGCTGCCCTCCACCAATTCGACGCGTGCCCGCACCTTACTACGTCTGTCCCCGCCGTCCCCCACTCAATACCATCCCCGGCATCCTCCAGCCCTGAGCAGGCCGCTGTATTTACACGGGGAAAACTCAGGCTGCATATCGGGGCAATCCCTTCCGTCGGCTGCTGATGTCGCCCCTCACTGACGACCGTGAGGGGGTCGAGCTGACTGGGGGAATACTTTGCACCACTCGGCACAATATCGCGCTTCATTCGACACCGCACCTTCCGCCTGACACGCACTGGAGACTCGGAGGGCGTCGATTCCGCGATAGTCTGGTGCTGGGGTTCAGTGCGGATGCGTTTGCTGCTGCCTCGGCTAGGTCGTGAGGGGTCCCGGTCTTGGCGGCAAAAGGGCGGCTAAAGAGTAGGTGCTTCTGGGTTGTTCAGCCATAGCCTTGGAGGTGAGAGACGTCACACTCGCCTTGCACTTCATCCTCGCGCGCGGAGAGCGTATAACAGAAAACTACGACAATTGGGCGGGAGCTCTGCACCAGACGAGATGCGGTACCGGCCCCACATCGCCAGGTCAGCTGAGAGCCAGATAAGGACTCGCATCGCCATCCGCTCAGTCCCAGATCCGCGCGTCACCAGCCACCACGGGTATAAGTTAACACAACAGCTAACACACCAGATACTAGAATTAAATAGCTACCGAGCGCGCCGCCCCCTCTCTCTCGTTCTCCCTATCACACAGCGGAGCCGGCCAGCCGGCGGAGCGTCTCTCAGTTGGGAGCTCGCCGCGCGCTCCGCACTGCAGGCTGCCGCAGCGGAGCGGCGGCCGCCCGTCCGAGCCTGACTAGCGTGGAATGTGGAGCGTGCAGCAGCGGCGGCAGCGGCAGGCAGATCATTGCTGGCGGCCGCGCGGGTCCGGACGACCGCTCGGCTGGCGGCTAGCCAGCGCTCCGGCACGGGGTCCGGACGACCGCCCGGCTAGCGGCTAGCCAGCGCTGCGGGTTCAGCCGTGTCCGGCTAGCGGTTTGGCTAGCGCTCCCACGTGGTTAGCGACACTCCCACACTTTGATGGTCTGGTCGACGCTGCCGGTGACGACAAACGGTGCCGTCCGATGCATATCTGCGGGTACGGGATCAGCCCGGGTCACGTTAGGTGCCATTGGACGAGATCAGCCCGGGTCACGTTATGATGCCATTGGGTATGTTACCTAAAGACGTGTATCACAGATTGACCTGCTTGGTCGGACAAAAGCCTAGGAGGCAGATAGGCATCTTTGTATAACCGGGGACATTTTGAACGCATGCACCTTTGTGCCATGTGCCAATGTGAAGGCGACCTCAACAAACAACAATAATTTAAGGGTAAGACAGGGAAGCGTACGAGTCATTAGAAAGGAATTAAATGAACGGTATAAACAGGACAGGGAACTAGACGTGTCCATTTATAACGTTACTCTTAGCAACATAGGTGAACGAGGAACACCACCACCATGTTAGTCACACATTCTGTCGAACAGCATCAACCAACCAGTCAAAGCTGCAGATACACATGTAGCTAACTTAGAACATTGCTTCAGTCGTAGCCGACATCCTGCTGAATTCATGTTAAGAAGTCCAAATGGATAATGGGTAAACCAGTCGAACAAAGGATTTTTAGCTTCAGCAATTATTGATGTCAGTGCTGGAGCACCCACCTATTGAGGTGCAGAAGTGCTGGTGAGCCTCCAGGGTGCGGTGGCACCGCTTGGCCTTGATGGTCCATATCTTCACCGTCTTGTCGTCGGATGCGGAGAGGAGCAGCAGTCCGCCCGGGTGGAAGACCAGGCCACGCACCCAGTTATCGTGACCGATCAGCGTGAGCAGGCACAGACCAGAGCTGGCGTCCCATATCTGGCAGGGGGATAGACAGCGTGAGCAGACAGAGGCCAGAGCTGGCGTCCCATATCTGACACAGGGATGTCAGTATCTGACACAAGACGGCGTGAGCAGTCATGGCCCATAGGCCAGAGCTGGCGTCCCATATCTGGCACAGGGATAGACAGTGTCAGCAGACAGAGACCAGAGCTGGCGTCCCATATCTGGCACAGGTGTAGAGACATAAGACAGTTCAGTGGACAGTGGACATCAGCGTAAGCAGACAGGGACCAGAGCCGGCGTCCAATATCTGACGCAGAAATAGACACAGTCTAAGTTGACAGTGATAACAGTGGAATTAGGACAATCAGAGACAATCAGTTCAGTTGTCAAGAGGGCTTGGACATTAGACGCCAGTATACAGTGATCAGGGAATACAACCGTCCTACGTGCCACCCTCAGCGATGCAGGGTGCACGCGGCGTAACCAGGCACCGGCAGTTGTAAAGAAGACACGACTGTAAACTATCACAAACGATCAAATAACTACATGGAACATGCTCGACAACGACCCTAAAGAACATCAACTGAAGCCTGTGCCGCGGCGATCCACCCAAGTGTCATAGCCCACTTTATGGTTCAGCGTACGCTAGGCAGCACCGAAGCATAATAACAGCTCCCGATTATCATTCCCGCAATATACCAAACATAAAAGTTAACGACCACTACACTGCTAGTGCTACAGGACAACGACGTTCATATATCTTCAGGAGCGAATATAACCAAAAGTAGCTGGCATGTTCAGCTCATATCTATTTCATGCGACACTGACTGGGTACGACATTCCTCCGCACAATTAGAACCCCGGGGACGGCCGGGTCGGGCGCCTACCTTGATGGTTTTGTCGCGTGAGCCGGACGCCAGGAAGGGCCCCGGGTGCGCGGGACGGCCGCTGTTGTCGCCGCCGGCCGCCTCCTCGATAGCCGGAGCCGCAGACGGAGGCGCCCAGGCTACACACTCGACCACGTGCTCGTGTTCCCGCAGCTCCAGCTGGAAGCGGCCACAGAACGCAGATACATACGGTAAGTAGGTTAAAAAAATGTAAAAAAAAATGATAGAGGTAGCAATTAACATTCCAGTCAGAACTACCGTCAATAAGATAGAAAGATGCTCCGGCTACCATCAGTTAATTCGAAAAAGACAGTGAAAATCCGGACACCTTGTCCGGAGCTGCAATTATATAATCCCCCTCTCACAGATAAGACTCCCCGTCGTCAGCCTATCGGCATCGCGACCTAGAACCAAGAAATCCTTAACTCAGCCCACTCGTGGCTCTAAGACTGTCCCTATATCCGCTCTCACATGAAGGCATCAACACCTACCCAACAGCCCATGGAGGCTTAACGTCCCAGATACTTATCAGATAGGGACGAGACTGAGGCGGCGCTCACCTTGCACTGCTTGCAGACCGCGCCCCAGACGCGCACCGGATTGGGACAGACGTGGGGGAAGATAAGGAAGCAGGTGCAGTTCTTACCTTGCACTCCTTGGAGGCCACGTCCCACACGCGCACCGTCTGGTCGTTGGAGCACGAGGCCATCAGTTGTCCGTCCGGGTGGACCCGCACCATCCGCACCCACTCACGGTGGCCGGTGAAGGTACGAACACAGTACCTGGGGAGGGGGGGGGGGGGTAGGGTGAGAGCTGAATTACACACCATCCGCACCCACTCCCGGTGACCGGTGAACGTACGAACACAGTACCTGAGGAGGGCGGATGGGGTAAGACCTACAAGCAGATAAAGTAGGTATACGCACATGGCGGTTATCCCGGAGAATGTGAGCGAGCGGGTACAGTCATTTGGTGAGGGGTCTCCCTTTGAAATGGGATAAGTCACATAATTTCACTTTCCACTTTTTTGCAGTCTAAAACAAGACTGCACTTCTTTGATGTTGCTTGCTCGTAAAGAGTTAAATGAGTTTTAAAGAGTTCTTGAAGAGTTTTAATAAAAAAGTGGATAGTGATCAATCAAGATAAACGACACTGATAAGCGAACTGTGACGTCAGCACGGCGTGCTGCCCACTCACCCGGTGGCCACCTCCCACATTTTGATGGCCTTGTCACGGGACGAGCTGAGGATGAAGTCTCCGGCAGGGGTGAACGTCACACTGGAAACGTTATGGTCGTGGCCGTGCATAGTCTTCAGACACTCGTAGTGGCCGGAGAAGTTCCACAGCTTGATGGACATGTCGGCACTGCATGACACTGCGGAAGACAAGAAACAGCGAATTCTTAGTCAGGTGGGGCGGATTCAATGGACGGGTTGGTCTATGTGGTCATGAATTCTTTATGACGCTAAAACGGTACCAAACCCGACTGTAACTGCTGGGTAAGCGCCGCCCCAGTTCATGCAACTTCTAAAATTTCGACATCCCCCTATCTATAAGTTCTCTAAGTGCAATGTAGCTGCCACACCCTATCGGGACCTCGTTTGGCGTAGGTTATTCGGCTACATATGTGAAAAGATAAGAAGCCCCAGCAGCATATGCATTTTTTTTTAGTCTCCTTATGAGATAATTTGTTTATCAATCGATATCATCGCCACGTTAACGGCCTTGTGTACAATATGGCATTGAGGCACTTGTACGAGTATATGCTCCGATGTGCTTTGGCATAACGGGGCAATAAATCCTATCTCCATGATTAATCGAGGACGGCTACACAGAGGCTAACTTGACACATCAGTCGTCACACCCCCGCCTATCACGTTCAGTCGACAACGGCCCTTTCTAACCGGATTTTACCAGCCGTGAAGAGGCCAGCCTTCACCGTGAAAACACAATGAACACATCTGATCCATGCCATTGCCCAACGCTCCTCATCTTATCATCACGAACAATAGTGGGAAAATCAGTGTGATCAGAGGACAAAGATCGAGAGGGACCAGATTTTCTATTGTGCTGCAGTTCATGGATATGAGCAATGCACATGATGGAAGGTTACTTTCATTATGAAAGTGACAAATGTGTCACAGCAGGTCACAAACCCAGGTCAGCATGTGTCAAAGTAAAAGGCAAGTGGCAAAAGCAGTAGTGGCTGAACGCATCACTGAATGACAGACTGGGAAGAAACTGAACAATTCTGACTTTCAATAGAAACAAATGTGGCTAACAAAGACAACAATTACACTCAGCAAAAGCAACAATCGATCACGTCCTTACAGTTTGCTATATGCTTAAAAAGAGCACTAACTACGCACAGAGACACCATCTACTTACCGAGGAAGGCTCCGGTGTGGTCGAAGGCGATGTCCTGGACGCTGTCAGTGTGTCCCTTCAGCGTGCGCTCGTAGTCGCCGGAGTCGAAGTCCCAGACTTTGATAGTGGCGTCCTCACTGGCAGAGGCCATCAGGCTGTACACAGGGTGGAGCAGCACCTAGTAGCGACAGAGAGGGAGGAGAGAAAGAGAGAGAGAGAGAGAGAGAGAGAGAGAGAGAGAGAGAGAGAGAGAGAGAGAGAGAGAGAGAGAGAGAGAGATAGAGAGAGGGAGAGGGAGAGAGAGAGAGAGAGAGAGAGAGAGAGAGAGAGAGAGAGAGAGAGAGAGAGAGAGAGAGAGAGAGAGAGAGAGAGAGAGAGAGAGAGAGAGAGAGAGAGAGAGAGAGAGAGAGAGAGAGAGAGAGAGAGAGAGAGAGAGAGAGAGAGAGAGAGAGAGAGAGAGAGAGAGAGAGAGAGAGAGAGAGAGAGAGAGAGAGAGAGAGAGATCCAGGTCATATGGGGACATAGGCTGGTGGAATTTTTAAAGTGCACAATCCCAACACATTTATTTATGGGGAAAGAACATGATTTTCTAGAGACCTTGCCGCAACATCCTGCCCGTCGACTTAGCTGCCCGTCGCCCGCCTGCCCTCCGCACTGAGCGCAAGCAGGCAATCAGCTAAAAAGGAGAGTGCTCCCACGGCCCACCTACCTTGGTGACAGGCGCGCGGTGGCCGGTGAGCGCGTACTTCTCGGGCGGACGGGGGATCCAGTCGGACGGGGAGCGTTTCTCGCGTGTTGGTGCACCCGCCTGCATTTCGCGCTGGAAGTCGGCCAGGTTAGCCTCCAGCTCCATGTTCTGTGGACAAAGTGAGACAGAACATATTGTCAATGCACAGAATAGAACAGTGCTTTGAAACTTAACTAGCACCATCAGCACACCACTCCTCAAAGTTATCAATGAGAGACAAACAATTCCAAAGGGGAAACAAAAAGCAAAAACATATCAAAACAAAATGAAATACAAAAAAAATCGTCAATTAAATACCCAGTCAAAAACCTTTGACACTTTTATCTTATTTTATTTCTTTTCAGCTTTACAAGCCAACCACCACTGACATACTTCTAAAAACGAGGTACACAAAAGGACAGAAACTCACTCTTTTCTGCAGACGTAGAACAGCCGTCCATTTCTTCTCCAGATGGCCGGCATATTTCTTCTCTACTTCTCCTGGCATGTCAGTCTCCCTCTTGAAGGCCTCCAAAGAGTCAGTGTACCCATTGCTGCCAAGGTAATCAGCAATGGCTTTGTTTCTGAAAAAAGAGAAAGATAGAATATTTTCATTTTTAAAAGAAACATGAGAAATAAGAAAGAGAGAAAGCAAGAGCAAATGTGAATGATTGCAACAAGCACAGACATCATTCAATTTCAAGCTTAGATAAAAATAGCCTACTTAAACTAGATCAATACGATTGTAAGCACCTGTAGCTATTACCCAAAACATCAAAATGTCAAACATCAGTGATAATGTTAAAATGCTGGAGTGAGCTAAAATCATGCCACGTAAATGTTTTTGTCATGCTTTGATTTATCTAGGAATTGAGATTAATACTCACAGTTCCTCCCTTTGCCTCTGTGAGAGCACCATTTTCATGTTCTAGGTGTCCTCACTTTTTCATTCTGAAAAAAACATGGCAAAAATGAGGAACACATGGCCATATCTTAGAAATAACCATTTAACCATACCATATAATTTAATGCCTACATATTGAAGTAACCATACCATAAAAGTAGTTTAAGAAAAGATGCCTTCTTAAATCACTTCCTTACCATAAAATACCAAATGATGAAGTAACAACCAAATGATGGGTGAATGAAAATATTTTTGAAGACTTTGGCACAGGTCATTATCAAAATATACCAGATAGCTATCTGATAGCTAGGTATCTGACATATTTTGATGGTTACCTGGGATTGAACTCATTCATTAATACCTAAAAATTTAATCTACCCATCATTTGGTATTTTATTGTGAGAAGCTGCCATTGAAAAAAATATTTTCTTTAACTACCTAAATCTATGCCTATTGCCTTACATACAGCAAGTTCTCCAGCAAGTAAGCTTATCGAACCATACCATGAAGTTTCAACATCCAGCAGACTATGACAAGACAGTGCATTTCTTATTTTCCCTTGCAAAAAAATAAGTTTAAGTTTAAGTTTAATATAGTGAGCTATGGTAGACAGGGTCTATTCGGTGCTCACTTCGAGCATTAAACTGGGCCAGACTGGGTAACTTCGGTACTGTGGATGTTAAAGAGAGAGGATAGCGCCGTAGTGGTCCTGAGCTTGTCTAGCCGGTTCTTGAAAGTGTTTGTGTTTTCAGACATTATGATCTCCTGAGACAGCTTGTTCCATGCTGAGACTACTCTGTTTGCAAAGAATTTTGCTCGAGCTTGGGTCCTGGACCTCCGTATCTCAAGTTTGAGCTGGTGACCTCTGGTCGTCCTTCCGTGGTGGCTAGTGAAAAATTGACCTGGGCGTATGTTCAATTTCCCCTTAAGAATCTTAAATGTTTCTATCAAATCTCCTCTTCTGATCCTTTCTTCCATACTTGTCATGTTTAGTACTTTCAAACGTTCTTCATATGGTACTCTTTTCAATCCATGGACTAGTTTAGTGGCCCTCCTTTGTATTTTTTCAAGTGCTTGCATGTCCTTATTCAAATAGGGACCAGCCGCTTGCACACAGTGCTCAAGATGAGGTCTAACATACACCGAAAAAAGGGTTTTGAAGTTCTTCACTGTTAGTTGACCAAAGGTCAGCCTCAGTACCCTGAGGGCAGACATGGCCTTGTTTGCTGACTTAGAACAGTTCAATGAAGGTTTCAGTGTGTTGGTAATGTACACTCCAAGGTCCTTTTCTACAAGAGTTTCCTCAAGCATTTGTGGCTGCCCAGTTACTGTTTTCATTGTGTAAGTGAATCCAGGATTTTGGGAGCCACAATGCATTACTTTGCATTTTTCCAAATTGAATTGCAACAACCACTCTCCAGACCACTTGGTGAGTATATCCAGGTCAGCTTGCAGCTTTAGAGCATCACTTTGATTACTAACAGGTCCATACAACTTGGTATCGTCTGCATACATTTTAATCTTGCTTCTGACCAGGCTTGGTAGTTCATTGACATAAATGATGAATAATACAGGACCTAACACCGAACCTTGGGGTACCCCACTTCTGACTCTGGACCATGTGGACCAAAGGTTTCCTCTAAATATGGAAAACTTTGAGAAAAATAGGTTGTTCTTCAATTAAGCAGGTTTGGTCATATACAACCCAAGCATGGTACACAGATATGGTGATTCTTCTTATTTGGAGACTTAGTCCCCAAAGTAAGAAGAAACATTATAGTTGAATGTTGATAGTGCAATTTTAGGCAATGGTCCCAATCCAATTTGGCATTGTTGGTAGAGAAATATATTGATTTAAGGAGCAAAAAATATATTTTATATACAGCTATGCAATTAATTTCAGGGGCATAGTGATAGAATGCAAAGGTTTGCAGATGTCAGAATAAAACTTCAACACCCATAGCTTGCAACACATTGATCAATTAGTCCCATTAATGAATTTAAAGATCATATGGATCCAACTAATGGAATTAAATACCTAACCTATTTATTATTCATTTTTCAAGAATGGTTATCACAAATGTTATAATTTATGCCAATTGACACTTGACAAGTAACCGAAGCCTCAGGACGCACAAGCACTTTCACATCAAACAAAGCAATATTGTTAAGGTGAATGATGACTTATAATTACGTTTAGGTCATGGAAACAAAGTCCTACAATAGCATTATATTATCACTTATTGCAATATTGTTATTCATATTTTGCTTGAAAGAGGGGAGTGGTGACAAGCGCGCCGTAAAAGCCGCAGCGTAGAAAAATTAGTGATCAGCTGTAGTTTGAGTCAGCCTCAGCAGATGTAAGGAAGCGAGAGTATCGATTATCTTTCAGTTTGCCGATTTATCAACGAAACCACACTAAATATTTAATCTGAAACCATATATCACCACCACCACACCCGAACTTGGCTAAATCCAATTCGCCAAGGTTCCCTAAAATCTACAGCTCACAAATATTACAAGGGGGGGCATTCCACGATAGATCGACCAAAGCCGTACACCCTCACATTTTATTTTTTGCTTAAAATTGGTCTAATGGGTTGTGATGGGCGGGGAAGCCAGCTGTGCCAAGGATTTTTTCTTCGAACAACGGTTTCCGAGATATAGCCTCAGGCAATTCCTGGAGGTCACGCTGCAACCCTATGTTTGGCGGCTTATAACTCAGAAACTATTGGTTTTCTATGGTAAAAACTTTGGGCCTGTTCCAGCGCCTCCAGAAACCTCCAGAAAGCTCCAGAAAGCTCTAGAATCCTCCAGAGAGCGTTCCAGCGCCTCCAGAAAGCTCCAGAAAGCTCTCGCCAAAGCTCCAGAAACCTCCAGTAGGGCTCTCTCTATCGTCTGGATAAAAATAGGCCCCGCCCATCCCAATCAGCTGCTGTATGACGAGTTGATGACGACAACCACTACTTACCAGCAACCAATCTAGGGATAGCGTGCGTGACAGTAATGGTGCAGCGGTTGCAAAATATTACATTGTTATTCAAACGGTTTTTGCTTTTAGGGCCTTGTTGTTTAACCCATCTGTGTTTGATTGTATTGAGATATGTGATTAGTAGATGAGGTGTTGATGAAGGCAGGTATTTTGTAAAATATTTTTTTGGACAATTTTTTTGCCCTTGTTCTACTTAATAGCTGAACCCGGGGCCACCTGAAGTCTAAACCTTATTTATATAACATGTCAATGCTGATGCTGTCTTGAAATGTGAAATTTAGACAATGGTAATAGGAATAATGAATAGCAATTTCACCAACAACTTGTTAATCTCTAGGAAGTGCAATTGAAATTAAAATCACTGTCTGCCACACTGCTCCGATCCTGGTCATGCAACCAACGTTCATGGGTGGTGTTTCACGGCAGAGCACTGCAGTGCGCTGCGTGTGTCAGAGCATTGGGTTTCCATGGCAGTGTCAACAAACTTCACTGTGACGCTAAGCTATGACAGCATCCCAGAATGCTAGCACGCTGCGGTACCAGCACCAGCAGCATGCTAGCAGTATTTGAACTCAAACCTCTGTTTTTGGTACGGTTTTTCAGAACCTCTCACTCTGTTCCAAACGCGATTCATCATAAACTAAGAGATCACATGCAACGTCATTTGAGTGATGCTATGGTATGCCGTAGCTACCAGTGCACACAGTGTCTGGATGGTGAAACAGGGCCATTATTAATCACATTTGCTTTGCTTTGTTTCAGCAGAAACCTGTCTGCACATGGGAGGAGCGCAACAAAAGCCCATCAAGTTCATGCATGGCAGTGGATCTCAACAGGAGAAAACCAGAAAGAACATGGATGCTTGTAGATTGCAGTTGTACACTGCTGTTATCACCTGATGTGCGTGGCTGGCATTGCTCCTGGCAAGAACCACCTGCAAGTGATGAGATGGTGCCTCAGCCGTTGTGTGCTGCAGTGTGAGAGGCGCCCTGATCTCTACTTTGTGATGGGTTTCCATTGGAGGTTCAACTGAGAAGTGAGAACTGACTGTGACCATGCTTGAGCATGCCAGTAGAGCTTTACATGCTTAGGGCAGCTTTTGAACAGATGCTGACCATGGCATGTCCCATCCAGTTATCACGTGCACAGAATGGTGGGGGGAGGGCAACTCTGGGCTCTTGAGTCAGCCCTACTGCACAGGGGGTACAGATGGCCGCTTACGTATGGTGTGTCCTGCACTGCATTATCAAGCCCAGTCTGCTGCCACAGGCAATGGGTCGGGCTGCACTGTATTAAAGGCAGACTATCTTGCAAAGGAGGCTGGCATCCTCTCCCATAATGACACACCAATTGGCAATCATCGCTGCGATGATCACGAGGGTGTCCGCTTATCTAACATGGTGAGGTGGAGAGCCAGCTCAAGCTGGCCTGAGGGATGGTTTTACTTCATCTGAGGCCCCCTTTCCCCGCCTGCCAGGTCCGGTCAAACGACCGCTTCACAGTGAACGACTTGCAGTGGATGCCGTCCCACAGCGCAACGAGCGCGCCGACCAGAGGCGGCGGCCAAGAGGCGGCCGCGCTCCCCCAGTCGACGGTCCCGGTGGACGTCGGCAACGCCCACCGCGCGACCATCAGATCGGCTCGCGACCGCGCCGTCGCCGACTGACTGCATGACTGGTATCTGTTCTTGATGTGGGACCGACTGCCACCGCCGGTCGCGGAAGGGCATCGCTCATCGGCCATCGACGTTCACCAGCTTCGCGTGGGTCACTGTTCGGGCTGCCACCAATACACCGAATCGGATGGAACCCTGTCGGCGAATGCCGGCGGTGCCCCGACATCGACTGCGCGGCGGCCAGTGCATCGCGTGCCGGGAGGAGGCTGGCACCCCCGATCGGTCATTGGTCACAAACCGTGTCCCAGCTCATGACTGCATCCAGCGCAGCTCTGTGAGATGTTCTGCTGCAGTCTGCCGCGTGTGTTGAAAGAAGAATGAACATGAGAAAACCTCAAAACTTTATGCCTATTAGTATTTGACCAGTATTGGAATAAGTTTGGATTTTGAGAATTTGTGTCCCTGTGCTTGTGCCTGTGTGGAAAGGCATGCTTTACGGTGTACCATCTCAATTTGTACGGATGCTGACAGGCCACCTGGGTGCCAACGTATGTACGAATCCGCGAATACGTTGTGTTTCGTCAGTCGGTATCGTTCTGAAAATATTGACTGCAATAGGCTATATAGCGTATGACGGTTCAGCCCAGCAGTAATAACCATAGGTGGAGAATTGTGACCAGCTGGGGGTGCTCGGGCGCAGCAAATCCACCGCCGCCTAGCGGTGACCTTGACCCGCGCCGCCCGGCCGCGGCTCCAAAGCCAAGCCGGCGTGGAATTGGGAGAGGTCGAGCACCCCCAGTCCAGCACAATTCTCCACCCGTGGTAATAACTGACCATTGATTGGGCGAATTTTGTGTGGTGGTTCGCTAATACATAACCTAAAGAGTGTTTTGCCGGAATCGTTTAGTAGCAGAACTGACCGGAATATAAGTAGAATGCAACGGTTTGAATCGTTAATTTGTTGAAACGATTGTTCTCTGAGACCACTGTGTAACTTTTGACCTGAGAATCACCAATTATAACGACAACGGTGGATGCAGTAGGCACTGTAGAGTGTAGGCAACACTATATAGTTGGCACACTTACGCAAGCACACGACTTACGCAGTGGACATCTGCATCATGCATGTTAAGGTTTACTGGGAAGAGTGAGAAATTAGTCAGAATATAACTGACTAAGGAAAATAGGCGATATTTCCAATTGAGCTGGGGCGGAGAGGGCCGAGGGGGAGGGGACGTATGGTCAGCTATGCCAATAATTCATTCTCGTTATGCAGCTGTGTAAAAGGGCGTCCGTTTTTTGGGGTGAGACCTTCCCCATTGGCCATTTCCAAGCTAAATCGTGGTGGAGAGTCTGGAGACCTCAGCATCCTGCCTCGGTAGTCGGTACCCTGCTCGCTGCGCCACCTTGCGAAACATAAAGCAGCAGTCCTGACATCTGCAGGCGTTACTTTTCATGAAAACGCGGATGTGTTCGCGCTTATGCGAAGAAAATTCTTCCGAGTATGGTTGATAATGAGATTGATTGTTGTCATTTATTTATTAATTCATTGGCAAAAGTACCCTAATAAATCGGTAAAGTAGCTTAAACTGTATCGTATTTCCTTGGGAAAAAATGACGAACTCATCCTAAGACATCCAGATTATTGGATGCGTTCGTCAGTTGTAAGTAGCTCAAGTTTTTGGAAAAATTTGCTTGTGGAAAATCATAATATTTCAAAGATATGCCTATTTTCGAAAAATTGATGCATTTATCTGCATTGAAAAATGATTGTAAAGCAAAAGTGCAAAAGATTTTTGTCAATTTATTTTCTCAAATCACGATTTACGAACGCACAAAACTCCAGCTTTTAATTTAGTGCGTGTGCGAATTGCGGTCAAGAAAAAAAATTAAACTGTCTATATTCCTAATGAAGGATGAATGAGGAAAACGCTGTTTTAAACAATTGTATATTTATTTTTTCTCAATTAAGCAAAAGTACAAAATTTTCAACTATTATTACATTTGCTCTCACAAAACCCATCACTTTTAAGCATGACGTCATGTCAGCCAAATTTACTAGCGCCATCTCTGGAGAGCATCTTTCGAAACCTCCAGACGATAGCGAGAGCCTCCAGTAGCCTCCAGAGAGTTGAGAGGTCCAAATTTCTCTGGAGGCTCTGGTCTACAATTATGGTGCACATGTGACAATCACGAATGTAAACAAAGGACATTTGACTGATTATTTTACAACTTGAATGTAAAGAAAATTACATTGCTATAATTTTATTTATCTTTTTAACTAAAATTGAAAACAAATTTTGCGTTTCAAGAGAGAACAATCGTCATTCTTTTGGTATCTATGACGCCAATCTCCAGAAATCTCCAGATTGCGTTCCAGCGCCTCCAGTAAAACCTCTGGTAGAGCCTCCAGTCAAGAATTTCTTCTGGAGGCGCTGGAACAGGCCCTTTATATGGTTCAACTCGCAATCAACCAACAAACGTTTTGGCTATCTCGGATTTTCGATTTTTGAAAATTTTGATCACGTGACATCTTGACCTTTTTTTCGAAGAGTGACCCTGATATTTTCCCAACTGAAAGTCGCAATTATGTCTGATGACGATTAAAGCCTTATCAATTGTCATTCATATGCGCAGGCAAGGCTATATAAACCAGGTAGAACGCTCCGGGAAAAAAGTTGGAAACAATAAATTAGTTGCGGCATTCCCTGATGACGCGAATGTGGGTCAGCGGCCGGCGGCCGGCCGCCGCTAACAATGTATGAGGAGGGATGCGCGGAACTTTTGCTTGTTGGTGATTGCGCTAGGCAGTTAAATGGTAATGTTAGGATATGTTTCGAAAGTAAATTGAACGACGCTTCGAACGCCGTCAATGAATTTGCGATACGACGACTTTTTGTTTAGTTTGAGCCGGCGAACTTTTACCTTCCAACCGCGCGCGGAGGCGATATGGTGCCACACTGGCGGTTTTTACGATAGCTCAAAATTCTTTTGAGATAAAGAGATGAAATTTGACATGTCCTATCTTTTGATCAAGCTGGATCTTATG